ATGTCAATTGTTAGCTCACAGTGACCCTATCTGCCCTGCCCCAGAGGGGTTTCCGGGCTGTCTGGTGAGTCGGAATCAGGTTGACTCAATGGCAGTGAGCTTGCGCCTTGCGTTTGCCTCGGTAGAGAAATAGATCACCGGGTCTCTCCTGTGGACTGACCAAGTGAGTCCAAACGCCCAACCTGTCCGTTCGTGGCTGAGCACCATTGTACACGGAGACTTCGCAGGCTTACTTCCGCTGGAGGGCAGCCTCCTCAGCGGAACTGACTGGGCTGGACGCTGATCCAGGCAAACTTCTTCAGCAGAGGTTCTTCGAGAGCCTCAAACCCTGCTGAAAACGGTCTGCGTGTTTGTTCCCAGATTTCCCAAGGATGGCCCTTAACTAGGAACAGTCTAGCTACAGAGGAAGACGCTGATTCCTAACATCAGCAGATGTCTTGGGGAATCAAGGCTTAATTGTCTCATAAAACTCCAGGTGGGAGAGATACTTCACCTCAGCTAGAAATCCGCAGACCGTGGGTCTGGACAGAAAAGCCGGCCGATGTCTCCGTCAAATCACGTTCTTCCCCTCCTCACAGCCTTGCTGAGTATTTACTGTCCAGTGGGCATTTTCCCTTCCTAAACCCATGGTTCCAAACCAGGCCAGGTGAGCGTCACGGAGGGAGAGGAAACGGGACGCTTTGGAGTTGGATGGACCAGGTTCAGAACCCGGTTCTGCTGCTTAATAGCTGCAGAGGGCATTTATCACTAGTAAGCTTCAAATCTATTTATACAATGAAGAGGAAAAGAGATGGGGTGTTTAGGGCACAGAGTCTGATGCCTAGAAGGCTCTTTAGTTATTGTTACTAGGTAACAAGCCAGCCCAAGCTCAGTGGTTTGAGACCATGAAAGCCGAACTCCCTGCCAGCGAGTCAGTGCTGACTCCTCGTGAGCCCCTGGGGGTCTCTGGGACTGGGACTGTTGATGGGAGTAGAAAGCCCGGTCTTTCTCCCCCAAGGAGCTGCTGGTGGCTTTGAACTGCCGACCATGCGGATTGCAGCCTGGCACGGAACCACTTTGAAACAATAGCAGTCATTTTACTTGTTCAGGGCTTTGCAATCTGGACGGGGCTCTGCGAGGATATGGCTTGTCCCAACAAGGTGTCGCCAGGGCTCGACTGGCCTTGACTGAAGTGTTGAAGGCGACCTCATGTGCGTGTCTAGGGCCGTGGTGCGGTCCTCGTTGTGGGCTCTCCTCGGTTAAGATTACTCACACAGGAATTGGCTTTCAGAGAGGAAAAACAGTGAAGCCCAGGCTCACAAGAGGCCCAGCGTCCTTCTGCCGCCGTCTACCGGTCCATGCAAGTCACAGGGTCTGCCCCATTCCGCAGGCGGGGAAACAGACTCCGCCTCTTGGAGGGGAGAGCACTACACATACAAGGGCGTGAGAAAGTCTTGGTTCTGACAGAAGCTTCCAGCCTCTTACTTCTAAGAATGACACCTCGTTTTTGTCCTCCCACCAGGCTTAAGGGGCAGCCGCCTTCCCAGCATCCACTGTGAGGCCACAGAGGGAATCGCCGGCAGTCACCGGCAGCATCTCTCTCCAGCATCTGGTTGGTAGGGAGTTTGACTGGGTTTAAGTCAGCCACAGATGCTCCTGGGAAAAGGACCATGAGGAACGGGGTTGTGGTAGTTACATAATCTGGTGTCAATGAGACTATTTGGAGTGAAGGGGTGGGGTTTAGCCTGTCAATCAGGTGGCAGCTTGATGACCTCATTTGGAGGCGTGAGACATTCCTGTTGACAAGCCACATGGAGCTACACTGATGGAGCCAGAGCCCTGGAACTGGAGGAGCCACGTGGAGAGCCATACCAGTGTTAAGATGCTTACAATGCCAGTAGATCCATAAGACTTTGTACCTACTAGCCTGTGATCTTCCATTGCATGTGTTGTGTGAGGCTGAAGAAGAGTTTATAGACTGGTATTGGACATATGGGCTAATATTGGACTTATAGACTCGGTCTGGACTGGGCTGGGATATTTTCTCAATATACAATTGCTCTTTGATATAAAGTTCTCTATTACACACATATGAGTGTCTCTGGATTTGTTTCTCTAGTCAACCCAGACTAACAGGGATGTAGACGTGGGAAGGGGAAGAGGAATCCTAAGGTCCTGAGATTCCACACTGCCTGGCAAAGGATTCCAAGTTTTTAACAGTTGTTCCTCCAGAGAACGGCTCACACAGATGGACACGTATGCACTGAGACCCACACGTTTATTGAGAGGCCTGCGGGCCCTTGTGCTGGGGCTCCTTATGAAGACCGTCTCGTCAGAGCCAGGCTTCCTGGAGGCAGAGAAAAGAGGGGGTGTTGGTGGCGGTCACCAGGAACAGCCAGAACACATTCAGGATGCTGAGCAACCCCCCGTCCTAGTTCCTTGAGCCCACCCTACAAACTCTACTTACCCTGCTTCCTTGCTGTGCACTGGCTGGGACAGGGCACTAAGCCCACTCACACAGAGAGGTCACTGCAGGTGGGCATGGAGGGAGAGCTACTCTTGTGAGCTTTCCTGGGGAGAAGTCTCTTCCTTCAGTGCACCCCTCAGGGCTTGGTGTGCGGTCCCGTGAACAGTTACAGTCTTGGAAACCCACAGGGGTCGCCACGCGTCAGCATCGACTCGATGGCAGGGAGTCTTGCTGTGTGTTTGTTTTGTTTTTTCGAGAAGGGCTTGGCGTGGCGGTGACACGTTAGAGCTGCTCTCGGGGAGTCAGGTCAGCAGTCCGAAACTACCCGCTGCTCCTCGGAAGAAAGCCGAGGCCTTCCGCTCTTGTAAAGAGTCTCAGCCTCGGACACCCACGGGCCAGCTACGCTCTCCTTCGAGCCACTCTGCGTCAGCATCGACTCCATGGCAGGGAGCTTGTCTTTGGAAGGGATTTGATTTCTTGAATATCATCGATAGACTTAATAGGTGCCTCGTAGCATCTCAGCTTTTATCAGCTGCAAACCAGAGGGGTATTGAACACTAACAAGAAAAGACTCCTTTGCTGTTGGGGAACCGCAAGATCCACGTAAGCACACTACCACCTCGTTCTCCCTGGAATGGCTGTGGGTTCGAACTGCCGACCTTTCAGTTAGCAGCCCAGTGTTTTTGCCCCTGTGCCTCCTGGGCTCCTTCATAATGGGGACTCTCCCCACAGCCACCTCGTCTGTGCTGACTCATAGCAACCTTCTGTAAAGTCTCTGATGCTGTAAGTCTTTAGGGGAGCAGACAGTGTCACCCCCACGGGGATAGCAGTGTTCTCTTAGAAATGGTTTCTAGAACGAGCGGGGGGGTGGGGGTGGGGGCATAGCTGGAAGGTTTAGGAGTATCCGTCCCCCCGGGTACAGCAGCACTAAACAGTTGATTCACTCATCCAGTCCACCTGTCCTTACCTCCTTCGGTGCGGACCACACCTTCAGGTAGGAATTCAGGCATTTCTCAATATTAGCATCTCAGAAATTTCTGGAAGACCGTCTGTCAAAGCACTGGGAAGGGATATTCTAACCCAGGTCTTTAGGAGAGACCAGGATGTTAGTTGGGGTCCCAGGATGGTGAAAACAGTTCATGCTCTCAGCTGCAAACCAAAAGGCTGGAAGTTCAAGTCTAGCTCAGGAGCACCTTGGAAGAAAGGCCTGGTGAGCTACTTCTGAAAGTGCGGCCATTGCAAACCCTATGGAGCTGAGCACAGTTCTAGTCTGACAAGCCTGGGGTAGTCATGGGTAAAATCTGCTCAGCCACAGAGATCTATAAGGCTAGTTACCGAGTCTACGTTCAGGGAAGACTAGGACACAGAATGCCTTCTTTATTTCTAACCAGTCAACAAACATCCATAACTCTGTGCCAGGCTAGATTTGGGGGGTAAAAGGGGAACAAGAACAGTGGGGGATAATGCAAACCTGAACCCACAGCCATCGAGTTAATTCCGCGATTCGCAGCAACCCTACAGGACAGGGTAGAACTCTCCCCATGGGTTTCCAAGTCTCTAAATCTTTATGGGAGTAGAAAGCCTCATCTTTCTCCCACAGAGCAGCTGGTGGTTTTGAACTGCTGACCTTGCGGTTATCAGCCCAATGCATATAACCCACTATGCCACAGGCCTCTTTTTAGTGGCGGCTATAGACAGGCAGATCGATCATGAAGAAATGTACTCAGTGCAGTGGTGGAGATCTTCGCAGTGACAGGAGTGGATCAGTGAATGGATACTTGTTCAGAGGACACATATTACTCTCTGTAAGCAAACTGGCGGAAAAGCCAAACACGTGACTGAAGCTCCCCTGGGCTGAGAGCCAGAGATTGCTTAAGGAAAAATGATCTGGGGCAAGGATGTTAATCGAAACGTTTACGGTGCTTTGCACTTTGAGAAATGCCTTGGAAATCAGGGCCTCGTTTAATCTCCAGAGTGTTAGCCTCGCAAGCTAAAGAAACTTGCTCTCAAGGTCACTCAGGCAGTTTTAAAAAAAAAATCAAGCATAACCAGCCCTGCACGGTGACTGTGGCTCCCGGCGACCTGTGCCGGTGTTAGACGGTGCTCCGTGGAATGCTCGCTGGCAGGTTTTTCGGAGGTGGATTGCCAGGGCTTTCTTCTGAGGTGCCTCTGGGTGGCAGCTGAGAGCACGAACCACTTGCACAAGAGTGGGAAGTGGCCGGGATCTGAGCTATGCCTTGGGATTCCCAGCCACCATCGCACTGCCTCTGCGACGAGCCACTACCAAATATCCGGGACCTCTCCTGCGGGTCAGGGCTCTCCTTTGCAAAATGGATATTGGGACCTTGCCTTCCTACATGGCAGAATCGGGAGAAAGACAGGGAAGCAAACACGGCTCCCGGGTGCATCCTGAAGGGGCAGTGGGGTGCAGCCCTGAGCGGGCAGCAAGACAAGCCTTCCTCTGGCTGGGCGAGAGTCTCTGTCCCTGACTGCTGCCCCTGTAGGAGGGGGGCTAACTGGCACCGGAAGCCACTTGCTCTCCTCTTGCCCTCACCTTTCACATCCACCCTGCAGTCCACAGATGCCTCCTCCCCCAGGGCTTTGATGGCCTTGCAGGTATAGATGCCCCCATCGAAGGGGCCAGGCTTTCAGATCTGGGGTTAAAGGGGAGAGGGAACCACACAAAACATCACAGGTTCGTTAGGCGCAATTGTACAGCAATAACAAGTAGAGATTATAGTAAAGTCATAGAGAGTATGAGAGTTAAAAGATGGAGTCAAGTAATGGAGTCAGACACAATTCATGGTAGCATTGCTCACCTCAGCCCCACTTGTCTTCCTCAGCCTCGTCTTCCTCAGCCACCCTCCCGAGAACCAGGGACCCTCCTTATTTGTTGCTAACTACGCATCATATTACTTTAGGGGGATACATCACAGCATTATGCGTCACCGAGAGGGGCAGTACAATTCATCCTTGAACAGGTTTGATTATTCTGGTGTCTCATACAATAAAGCAGGCAATTACTATCCTGGGAGGCATGCAAGCCCCCTGATAGCAGATAACAACCTACGTCATAGGGAGGGGTTGTAACATAGGCAATACAAGCAATAGGAGGGGGATGACCTAGGGGTGAACGCGCAATAGTAAGAGGAGGGAATAGGGGGGCATGTGTGGCAAGATGGTAGCCTAAGCTTAGTCACCTTAGAGTGGTCCCAGGCTTGCCTTTGGGCACTGCTTCAAGGGAACAATAACAGAAAGGACTGGGCCCTACTTAGGGTGTCAGACTATACAGTCTGGCCGCTCTAGATGGCTGATGTTAGGGAGAATAACCTCTGACTTACTTTTGTTAACCGCCTAGTGTACCGTCATACTCAAGTAGCTAAGTCTGGTACATATTATTGGGGAGACAGCTTAAGAGAAATCCTTCTGTTCCCCACATCCAGAGAGCAGACCCCCAGGCGAGTGAGGGCTCTGTACTTGGGGTTACCTTGGATGTCCATCTTGTTCTTCAGCCAGACGATCTTGGGCTGGAAGGTCAAGAGGAAGGAGCAGCAAGAGCTCATTAGCTCCCCCTGCAGTTAGGACAAGAGCAGCAAGCAGCATGAGCTCTCACCCCCAATCCCCCTACCCCTTCAGTGCCAGGACCTGGAATTTTGCCTGCAAGGCTTGGACACACACCAAGGGGCCCAGGAAGAAGAGGACCCTGGAAGAGCAGAGAGCAAAAGGGCCGAGCAGAGTGACTGGCTCCCCCAGTCCTAATGAAAAGGGAAGGGCTCTTCCTTCCAGCGCTCTTCGCAGCTCCCCAGGCTCTTGCTCTGGGTTGAAACTCCAGCACCTGACACTTCTCCTCCTTCGTGGGCCTCCCACCACAGCCCCATTCTGCCCCAGCAACCCTTTCAAGAGCATAAGCCCTGGGGGTCAGAAGTGTCACACTGTGAGCTGTTGGTACTCTTTTCCCATGGTTCACCTGTGAGCCACTCCTGTCCCCTCTGCCCAGGGAGTAGGTTTGAGAGTGGGCTTTTGAATAGTCTCTGAGTCATCTGGCTCAGGAGTCACTGCACAAGGACACGTGGTGAAGGGTGCCGGTGGTGGTTTATGGCCGGTTTGGCACACAGTGATGGGTTTAAATGGACAAAGAACATTGCTCAGACTTGTGACCAAAGAGGCCTGCATGTCCTCGACCCGAGCGGATGAGGTGGGCGATTAAGGAAAAACCACTGGGCTCCATCACCCCTTCCAGGAGGACAGCTTGACGCTCATGTCCAATTGCCAGCAGAGCATCAAGTGCCTCCTTGTCTGTGAGGGATCAGACAGGAGGGGCCCTGGGCCATCACCTGGGCCAGGCTGCCTGGGACTCCAAATGCCCGGACTACGTGGCTTGCTGTGGGAGAGGCCGTTGGTGGCGATGATAGTAGATGCTCTGATGGGACTGCTCTGTGGCTTAGCTGCAGCTGGGACAAAAGCAGGAGGCAGGCCAGCAGTGTACCAGCCTCCCCACTCACCTTGGGAGAGGCATGGACGCAGCAGAAGAGACGGGTGTCAGAGCCTGTGATTGTGGTGCAGTCGGCCAGTGGCTGAGTAAACTTTGGGGCTTCAGAGAAATCTCACTGGGCGAACTCCTCAATCTTGTAAATAGTAGCTGAGGGGGCCGAGACGGGCCATGGGGGAAGTGTCTGAACTCCCTGCCCCTCTTCCACCCCTCCCACTGCGGGACCTGCATGGCTTTCTGGATGTGGGCGAGGTCCGAGGTGACCGGGGCGGTCTCACTGAGCCCACACTGGTTTTCAGCAAAGACTCAGAACGCCTAGGAGTTGCCGATGATGAGGTTGCAGACCGTGTAGCTGGTGCCGTGGAAATGCTCCAGCACCGTGAACCACAGCTGTGGGGGCCCAAGAAGACGCTGGAACTGAGACCCCCGTGTTGCGTGCTCAGTGCACCCCAGTCTACTCCGTGGAGTTGCCCAGGCCCCACTCCCAAATACCCTGCTCCCCACTCCTTCCCAGCAGGGCCTCTGTGTATCCCAGAAGGGGCGTGTTGCCCGTGTCTTGGGGAGGGGTCCACTCCAGGGTAGCGCTGAAGCCCCAAACATCAACCAACTTGATACTCTGGGGAGGGCCTGGCCTCTCTGAATGGGCAAAGCGCCCCCCCCCCCGGGGGGCGGGGTCACCCCAGATGCCTTGCAACTACTTTCCGCCTGCTCCATGCTCTCTTCCCTGCCCAGGCTTGTCTAGTTCTCATAGCTGGCTGCCCCTCGCCCACCACTGTGTCCCAGACTCAATGTGGGACAGCCCTGGAAGACCACCCTCCCACCCAACCCCCCTCCATACTGATCACCAGGATGTTGATGGTGGCCGTGGCCCCCAGCCCACCCAGCTGCACACTCAGCTGGTAGCAACCTGAGTCAGCACGCTGCGCTTCTCGGATGAAGAGGACGGAGTCCCTCTCCCCATTCCACACACTCACAAGCCGCAGGTGAGCCATGAGCGAGCATATCCCAGAGGCCTCTGGGCTTTTCCTGCCCCGGGCTGCAGGGTGCTAGGACTTGTTCTGCAGATTCCTTGAGTCAGAGGTTGGTGGCTCCGCCCAGGGGGCTCCCTGCTTGTTAGCAACAGCACAGGGCCACGGGAAAGGGGGGTGGTTGGAGCCCACCTCCCTCTGGAAGCTTAGGCTATGGGACCCCAGGGCAATTGGAAGCTAATTCCCAAGTCCTCCAAGTGAAAGTCCCTGGGTCTGTGCTGGCTGGAGGGCGTGGATGAAGCTCATCACATGGGGCTACCCGACCTCTCCCTAACCCAGACAGAGCGAGAACCGCCCACCCAGCCCACTGCTAGCAGGACTCTTGGTATCTGTTACTTAATCAACAGTTTCAGTCTGCTCAAGCCCTGGGGCCCCCCAAGTGATCACCTGGAATGGGATTTGGAGGTTCACGGGGGCTCCCACCTTGCAGATGTAAGTCTGCCTGAGGGCCCCGAGGTGAGAGAGAGAGAGCGAAAGAGAGCAGGAGCCTCGCCCCTCCCAATGCTGCATCCAGCCCAGCCCTGCCTCGCCCCTCTCGTGCAAGGTGACCCGGGCAGGGCTCAGCGAATCAGTTCCTCTCCCCAGAGAATGGGAAGTCTGCCGCAGCTACCTGCCTGGGACTGGAGACCAGGGGCTGCCTGAAGGTCCCCTGGAGGAAAGGCTCCAGCGCTTGGCAGGAGGAGCACTGGAGTGCGAGCCTACTATTCGTTTCCTTGAGTTTATAAGGCTCAGCCATCACTTCTCACCAACGCGCATCTTTCTGCTGTTCCCCGATCGCGGACGCCAGGGTGGCTGGCCTCTCCCCGCCTTTTCTGCAGGCGTCTTTCCCAACACTTCCCCGAGCAAGGCCATTTCCACGTTCATCCTGACCTCCTGCCTGCTGGCCCTGCTCCCCAGCCCGGAGCCAGGCTCTCAGGACCACGCCTGCTGGCCGGGAGGGGGCGGGGCGGGCGCTGACGTCACCGAGGGGCGGATCTTTTGGCCCCTCCCCCCGTCCTGCGCCAGGGCACCTGCGTCGATTTCTTCCCGTCTGTCAGAACCAACTTTCTAGACACAAAACCCGGAGGAGATAAGGCCCACTGCTCACTTCCTTTCGCCTCTCTGCGAAAAGCAAGATTCTGTACAGTGCTGGCTCCCGGGCTGCGGACAGTGCGGGCCCTGGCAGTGCGCAGGAGAGTGTTTGGAGAAAGACAGGCGCCTTGTCTCTCCTCTCAGGATTCCCGCTGGCTGCCAAGGCCTGGACGTGGCAAATACCGCACCTGGGTGCCTCTGGGGCCCTGGCTAAGACTTCTCGCTCTCTCAGAGTCCGGTCCCTTCAGCCTCAAGGAGACAGTCCCCTGCTGCCCTTAGCTGAAGAGGAATGGGTGGCCACTCAGTTCCTACCAACACCCTTCACCCACCCTCCGAGGCCACTGTGGTTGACTCCCCACCTGCACATTCCTGTGGAGGCCACCCCCAGCCCACCCCTACCCCACATATTTTTAAAAATCACCCTTTTGATCTAAAAAAAAAACCCAAACCAAACTCAGGGCCATCGAATCAATTCTAACTCACAGAGACCCTACAGGCAGGGTAGAACTGCCCTATGAGTTTCTGAGACTGTAGTTTTTTCAGGGTGTAGAAAGCCCTGTCTCCCCAGGAGCGGCTGGGGGTTTTCAAGGGCTGACCTTTTGGCGCACAGCCCCACCTGTAAACTCTACACCCCCAGGGTCCCTCACGGGAGCCCAAGGTCTGGTCTTTCTCCCACACAACAGCTCTCGGGTGGTTTCTGTCTGCCGACCTGGTGGTTCGCAGCCAATGGTAACCGCCAGGGCTCTTTTTGATCATCACACCATTTGGTAACTTGCTGTGTAATGAAGATTCATTCTAGCCATTGTCCCCAGCTCCGAAGAGTTAGCCTGGAAACCAAAGGTGATGCTAATTCCATGACTCCAGATGGGGACAAGTCATGCCAGAGAGACGAATGATAGGGTGTCTGTGATGTCAACCTGGGGGAGGAGACAGCTTTGGAGATGGAGTTCAGCCATGTGGCCCAACCCAAGGGGTCAGTCAATTATGCCTACGTAATGTCGCCTCAGTTAAGCACTCTGGGCAGCAGGGCTTGAGTGCACTCCTCTGGCTGGCAGTGTTCTGAGCACTGTCGCACCCTGAGGTGACAGGAGGGTCCCTATGTCCCTGAGGATAATGGAAGTTGCATTTGGGGGCCATCGCAGACTTTGGTTCTGATGTGAAGCCTTTGGCTATTGTGAAATGGCCATCATGTAAGTCCACTGCACCCTGGGTAGTTTGTGTCATTCTTATAAATCAGTGGTTCTCAACCTGTGGGTCCTGACCCCTTTGGGGGTGGAACGACCCTTTCACAGGGGTCGCCCGATTCAGCAAAATGACAGTTATGAAGTAGCAAGGAAAATAATTTTATGGTTGGGGGGAGATCCACCACAACATCAGGAACTGTATGAAAGGGTAGAGGCCTTAGGAAGGTTGAGAACCAATGTTCTAAATCATCAACAAATCTGCCGTCCAGTAGCTTCAACTCACGGTGACCCTGTCGTGTGGGCAGGGTAAAACAACCCATAGTGTTTCCAAGCTGTAGTCTCCATAGAAGCAGCCAACCTCATCTTTCTCCCATGGAGAAGCAGGAGGGTTGGAACTACCGACCTTTGGTTGAGCAGCCAAGGGCTTGATCAGTGTGCCACTGGGGGACCCTCAACTTTGTGGGCAGCTTGTCAGAACTGAGGGTGACCTGGTTTCTAACACGAGAGCAGTCCTGTGGTGGGTGGAGCCCTTCACCTGGTGCAGGGGTTGGCAAAGGAGACGGAAGGGCTCGTCCTGCCCCTCACAACAATTGAGAAACCACTTAAGAGCTATACATCTACCTTTACAAACAAGTGAAACCACCATTTGTTATGAATACTATTCCTTAACTTTTTCTGGTTTTCTTTCTTTTTTTTTTTTTCTTGGTTTTCTTTCAGAATCACCTGGGTGTACCTCAAGAGCCACACATGGTTCTTGAGCCGCAGTTTGCAGACCCAGACCTGGGTGATGTTCAGGCCAACCCTGGCTGGCTGGTGTCAGGAGTCAGTGCACATAGACCCCCCCCCCCCGAGATATCTGTGCTTTCCTGAGCATTCACCCCAATATGTCTCGGTCTATTTAAGGACTGTGCATGATATACTCAAACATTTACACTGAGAAATTAAAAGAAGTAGTGGTTCTGATATCTTCTTCCTGCATATTGATTGGTAGACCTTTATCTTCCCAGGCACCCCACATCACCATCGAGAGAACACTCATCTTTCACACACAAAGATAATTATAAACATACAGCACTCTTTACATTTTATGCATATTTATCTCACTTCACTTCCACCTTTGCTGTGTGGCCTCTGGCCTGTGCCTGGCTCCCCCTTGCACCTCAGCCCTACTCAGTACAAGCCAGAGGCCGAGAAAAAGGGCTTGGAGGGCTCTGAGCATGCTCCCTCTTTCCCTCCTGGGCTACTCCGGGCCAGATGCCTCAACTTGAACCTCCTGACCAAGGAGCTGCAGGCAGCCGAATGACCCTGCCCTGGGCTGCCCTCTTCAACTTGGGTAGCTCCGCAGGGCAGAGGCAGAGCATGAAGAACAGAAGGGGTGTTTGTGTGATGGGTTTCTCTCTGTGGCCATCTTGGCAAACCACCAAGGAGTGGAGAACAAGCTCTTCTAACTTCAGGGTCTTTTTGAGAAAGAGGGTGGTCATTGGGAATGAGGGTCAAAACCTTGACTTGCTGGGGCTGTGTTCTCCTTGTGGGGGCTGGGCAAATAGCCCTTTGCACTGGCTGGGGCAGGACTGTCCTCACTCTGTCTACACAACATGCCAGTTAGGACGGCCCTGGATGAGTGCCCAGGGCAACAAGAAGGTTAGGGGGAAAGGCTCAGAGATGGACATGGATTTATCCAAGTTCTCCAGGCTACCTGTGAAGTTGTACTCCTCAGCTCTCGCCCACAGAGGGCCGGTCCTCTAACCACTAACCTACCTGCTAGGCCCAGGCCCCAGCCCAGAGCTCTGCTGCTGCGGGGAAGGGCAGAGGTGGGGAGGGAGGAGAGACTTGGGAGTGGGAAAGGATTGAGGCTAGGGAAGGAGCCTGGGACTTCCCGAGGGGCCAGCTGACTCTACTACGTGTATGTCAGACAGGAAACTGGATCAGCTAGCTGCATGTTGGGGTAGATGTCTACCTCCACTGAGGTGTGTTTTGTAGAACAATACCTTGGGAAACATCAGCAGTCTTTCTGTTGATGCAGAGAACAATGAAAGAAATGCAGTTATGTCGAGCATAAGCTGGGGGTGGGCGTGATGGAGGATGGGATGATCCAGAGGAGACCCCCAAATGGGGCAGAGAAAGAGGAGAAAGGCGATGGTTAAGATGGCAGCCTCTTCCTCCCGAGTCTGTCCTGACAGCTTTCTTCCTGTGAGGTTTCTCTCTCTCTTACACGTGCACGCGCGCACACACACACACGGAGCCTCTGTCATAGGGCTTTCTTAGCTGCCATCGCTACAGAAACAGATGGCTGGGTCTTTCTTCCGCAGCACTTGGTGGGTGGATTTGAACCGCCAACCTTTTGGTTAGTAAGCAAGAGAAAATCATTTGTGCCACCGGAGGGCCTCAGGGAATCTTCTTAACAAGAGGAAACAGTGATAGAATAACTAGAATGTTCCACGTCTATGAGGATTAGTGTGAGCTTCTGCTCTCCGCAGACACCCAGGCCCCAGCAGGGTGGGTGGGAGGGCGGCAGGTAGCAAGGGATGGGCCTAAGATTAGAGCTGGGGACCTGGTGCTGGAGGCTGCTGAGTGTGGCGGCTCCAGATGCCTGGTCAGCACCAAGTCCTGTAGACCTCTTCCTCCCCAGTCCGGCCTGCCTGCAGACAGCAATCAGACCCCTGCTAAGAGTGCTAATGCCAGGGCCCAGGTGAGACCTCTCTTTTCACACATCCAGTCCACAGAGGTGTTAACAGAGGTGACCTTGGGGAAAGTGGGGCTTACCCCAAAGCCCAAGGTCTTTCTGCTGTCAGATGCCAGGAGTGGTGGGAACCAGTGCTTAGAGCCTGAAGCAGAGCTTGCAGTTGGCTAAGACTAGGCCTGGCAGCTGCCCTCTGGTGTGCTCCCCTCTACGATGTGGGGAAAGGCAGCCCTTTGAAAGCCATTTGCTTCTGAGCTGTGTTCTCTCCGCTGTCTCTCTCCCAGACAGAATGTTGTCTGTTTCTTTAAAGTGATTAGAGAAGTCCCCAAATCCTGACTCCTCCCAACGAGGGAGTCCTTCCCTAAATCCATTCTGCTAAAGTTCATGCTCATTTCCTTATTCTATTCTCCTGGGGAGTTGTTCACACCCCTCTAATAGTCCCTTCCCTGGGCTGGAGGCTCTCCTTCAGCGCTTCCCTGAGGGCGCACAGCTCAGGCAGATGGCATCAATCACGGCCTGGAGAGAGAGAATTGGGAGACACGTTGGCGGAGTGGAGGTGCGTACATGCGTGCGTG